TAAGGGCTATTAGCACATCAGAAGATGTTTGCTGAGCCTGGAAAAGGGCTAACCCCTTCTGGACATTGACCAAAATACATATTCTCGGGGAGCCAACCCCTCCCTGTTGGTGAAACAGCGGTAGGGGTGAGACGCAAAGAGGGCTCAGGATCTCCTTAGAACTGTACATCAGCCGGGAAGTCTTTTTCAGCATGAGTTTATATTTCAATCAAGGAATTCCATACCTTGAGAATGTAACATTGTAAAGCTAGGTTTGACTCCATGTTGAAACCTTGTTGCTGTTACCCTGTGATAGATGTTTCTTGATTTCTCTTTGTGGTACCGGAACCACATAGCAAATTAGGGGCTGGCTGATTTATATGGATCAGCGATAGCTCCCAAGAAAGAAACCAGCAGGGGAGTGAGTAGAAGTAGAGACCAGGGAAGAGTGATTTGAAGGAGGCTGCAGTTACTTTGATAGAAACACGCTGGGAGGGGCTTGGGACCCTCAGTCTGAGATACAAAGTAACTGGTGGTCCTGGAAAGTTCCTTTAGGGTCCAGAGATAACCTGGCTCCTCCACCCACCTGCATGGCAGACCGCTGTAGGTGCTCGAATCCACTTCTGAATCCCTAAAGGATTCTGTTGACTGGGTTTTCTACTGAGCCACGTTCATAATATAATGACTGCAGATGAACACACCTGAGCATCCTGCCCAGCCTTACACTTGGTCTAGATTTGTATCGTTTCACTTCCACACTATCCATCCCTGGTGTAAATTTGGCTAAAATTTTCCGTAACTTTTAGGATCAATTACATTATCTCTTTGCACCCTCTCAGAGGGTGATAGGTGTATAAAGTTCCTACCAAACTGCTGAATGATTAACAGTGAACTGGACAGCTGAACAAGGTTGGGGTAAAGCACTGACCTTTATTTTGTAGGTGGGAGGTTAAGATGCAAGTGGAGAAGGGACTTTCAAGGAAAGAAAACACACAAGGAAATGGAAGTAGGGACTCACAGGATTGGCAGCTGTGGTTTTTGTTTTTGTTTTTTCCTATCGCGGTTCACTGACACAGGGGAGGACAAAAAAACATGTAGATAAAAAGTAACTGAGTGTTTTATTTTGAGAGATCTCACACGTATGGGAATAATGGCAGGATGGTGCCCCATGACACCAGGTAGACACGAGTTCAGCCCCTAGGGGCGCCTTTCCTGGGTGTGTTGCCTTGGCAACCGAACCTCTCGGTGGCTCAGTTTCCTCATCAGAAGTAAAAGACCCTATGTTTATCTTGAGTCGTTCTGAGGATTAAATTAGATACAATTTGTGAAAGCCAGTGCTGTTAGGCACTTTATAAAGGCAGTTTCCCTTCCTTCTTTCTCTTCTGCTTTTAAAAATGAAGATTGGGGCATACTATAAATAAAACAAATAATAAGCTGAATCTCAGGGTGGAATTCGGGCCAGTTAAAGGGGAAAGGCCCAGAGGAAGAAGCCGGAAGGGGGCAGGTTCATCACCTCTGCAAATCCAGCAGGCCCTAGGAGGTGCAGCGTCACACGCCAAATAAAAAGTGTTCTTTATGTTAAAAAAAAAAAAAAAGACTTAGAGAAACATCGTCAGAGTCTGTTAGCCAAATATTTCAGGCTCTGTCTGAAGACTGGAAGCCCAGGAATTTTGGAAATACTACCCTTTCTTCATTTTCAGTGGTAGAGACCTCAAACTTCCTGCTGTGGAAAGTGGGGGTGGCCACTGTGTGTGTGTGTTTTTTGTTTTTTGTTTTTTTTTTTTTTGGTCAAGAGCAGGATTGTTTCTCTGGGTAGATGCTGCCATCTGATGTCTCTAAGTGGCACTGTGGCTTCACTTCTAGCTCAGTGACATTAAACTGAGGGTTAGAGATTCTCGTTTCTGCCTTGAGGCTTCAAGGATGATGGTAGGTGACTGAGTTTTTGAAACCAAATTAGCTTGGACCTTTTTTTTTCCCGATAGTAGTAAAGAATTTACTCCTTACTTTTCATTTTGATTACATACATAGTAAAACTTTCCAACAGAGTGTTACTGGATGTAGAGTCACCAGGCACCTAGGCTGGAACTCTGTAGGTGACTCTGATGTTTTTCTTACCTTTTGTTTGCTTTCTAGGGAATTCATGGTGGAGATACCACGCTCTCTGATTCCAGCCCTTGAAGCTCTGAGTACAGCACTTGGAAAAATGAATTAACCCCTTTTCCTCCATATTTGCGATTTTATTATTATCTTTAAAGCTTATTTTTCCCATTCATGCTTTGTTATGACAGAGGAGATGTTTGCTTGGCATAGTTTGCTGGGGTGGGTGGGAAGGAGGCCAGAATTCAGGAGAGGTGGAGATGGTGTAGGACCTACACAGAGCCCAGTGGCACTTGTGGACGAGGGTGGAAAGTAAAGAAAGTTTATGGAACGATCTAAAGAAAGTTCAAACCCAGAGTTGTGAGGCAGTTTTCATCTGGCCTGAATGTGGCCAGGGGAAGGGGGCGGTGGGGAGGAGAGATGCAGTCTCTGAGCAGAGAGATGGAACAGTCTCTTGAAACACCAGGCTTCATAGACGGGGGTGGAGTTAGCCTGGCGGGCATCCAGGTAGGCAAGTCGTGCTGATACCGGGTCCAGTAGAATCCTAGTATTTGATATCTGCCACGGCACCAGGAATATGCTTTGCACTCATAAGTTCCTCAACTAAATATTTGCCTGAGTCAATGAGTTAGGAGGGAACAGAGGACCAGGAACAGCAGACACCAGGAACGTGCTAGGGGCCCCAGAGCAAATGAACCTCAGAATGGCTGGGGAACCATGAGTTCTCTGGAGAAGGGGCAGCGTGCGTTTGCTGAATGCTGGGTTTGGTTCCTCCCTTCTGCCAGCAGACCCGCGCCTGGGAACACCCGGGCCCCTTGGAAGGGATCTGCCCCCAAAGCCCTGGGCGGGAGCAAGGGCTTCAGGTTTCTGGTGGAGCAGGGGCTACAGAGTTCTGATCTGTTGTCAGGTGACCAGTGGAAGTCAGTTCTCAGAGAAGAGTTGGTGGGAATGAAGCTGGTGAGAAGGGCCAACTCCGTAGCCTGGGGACCAGAAGGGAGGGTGTGGCTGGGGGTTGTGAGCACAAAGCTTGACCCTCCGGAGGCTGGGCAAGACCTTGTGACCCAGTTCATGGCAGGGTTGGAAGTCAGGGGAGTCCCAGGAGGTGAGGAATAGGGAAGAAGAGGTCATAGGTCTTGGGCCCCAGGCAGAGCATCCTTGGAAAGAGGAGGGGGAGCATGGTGTAGTCCTAAAAAAACACAGACTTTGAATTCATCAGGTCCCAGGGGCCCTGGTTTGGCCTTTTACTTTTATCTCGGTCGGTTCTCTTAATCTCTCCAAGTTCCTGTTTCTTTGAGAACAGAACAAGGATGGCTGCTCATGGTACCCAAGGAACGAGAGGATGCCAGTACAGCACTTAGAACAGAGTCCAGCGCATAGGAAATGCCCTTAAGTGTTAGGTCTGAAGATAATATTGTCTGTACACAAATGAGGTGTTTAGGGGTGAGCTGTCCAGATGACCAGGGGGTTAGATCTTATTACCTAACGGGGAAAAAAGGGGATCATTCATCATCTTTTTAAGAATCTGAGAGAAGCCTGTGCCCAATGGTCTTTCCCTGGAACGTCCTCATTTGCTCCTCCGAGGTGTTGGTCAGGGGAGTGTTAGCGTTGTAACTTACAGACAAGGAAACTAGCTCTGAGTGGAGACCAACACTGGTACCTGAGGCAGATCTACTGTGTTTTCCCTGCATACCACTAAGCAGGGATGGCTGAGGCCCTGGAAGATAGCCTTCCTCTTTTTCTGGAATAGGGTGGGCACCTGAAGGTCAAAGGGTGCTCCCCCTGCCCTCAGGCCTGGGGCTTATAGAGTGCCAGGTGGTCAACCACCTCTCGGACAGGCGGATTTTGACTAAAGGACCATCACAACAGCCTTCCTAGTTTTGTCTCCTTCCTAGCTCTTCCCCGGTATAAAATGTGGAGGGTGGCGCTACGGGACCCCGCTTTCTGGAGTATGACATGTGGGGATGCAATGAACCCCAGAGCACATAGAAATGATGTGCATGGTTTCCAGAGCTAGCTCCTGTCTTTCGTGGGATGCATGTGCAGAGGCCTGGAATGGTCTTCCTTGGTTCTTGTCAGGGCTGTGGTCCTGTGTTGCCATCACCCCTGAATGTACAAGTGGCCTGGCCCCGGGTGCCGGGGGAGGCGGTGAGATTTGGAGTCAGGAGACCAGACTCTGACACCAACTACCCCTGGAGCCGCGAATAGGTCACTTAAGCTCCCAGCATTAGTTTCCTCACGTGGAAAACAAGGAGTTAGCATGGCTCGTTTCTGAGGCTGTTTGCAGCTTTGAAGCCAGCTGAGCCTGATAGTCCACAAGCATTCAACAGACTCCTTCCTGCTTCGGCTTTGAGATCGCGTGATGGGAACCTGCCTTGGGAAGTGGCCCTTGGTGCGTGTGCTGAGGTGGAGCGGAGATGCTCCCTGTGGACAGAGCGGTTTAAGCAGCACAGCCCTGGGTACAGCCCTCAGGTGCAGTCATGAAGGGTTTGTTAAATTAGCAAGGATGCATCCGCCTAAGAAAATGCTATGTGGCTTCTAAAAGTGTTTTTATAGAATAATATTTGATAATACAGTACAACCTACACAGGATAAGTGAAAATTCATTTTTACCAAGCCACGGTCCTGTTTCTGTAGAAATAAAAGCTGGTAAATCTACGTATAGAAGAAAGCTTGGAATGTATAGGAAACACGGGTCTCTCTGGGAGGCAGCTTGTTGAGTGATTTGTTTTTCTATGTGCTCATCAGTATGTTCTGACTGTCCTGCTAGTAATAGGTATCATTTTTGTAAAAGGAAAAAAGGTGTAAAAGTTACCTTAAAAGGTGTCATCCTTTTAGTGGACACTCCTGTGCTCCTGCTGCGTGTCAGGCTTCCTGATTCCTCCAGATAATGGATAAACCACTGTGTGTCCCCTTTGCCTCCCCAGGAACGGCAGCAGCATGGCCAGCGTGCTGTCCCGGCGCCTTGGCAAGCGGTCCCTCCTGGGAGCCCGGGTCTTGGGGCCACCTGGGGCTGCCCCACCCTTGGAGCCTCAGGCAGAGCTGCTGGAGGGGGCGGCTCCCCAGCCCTTCCTGGCCTCTAAGGACACTCCCTGCCAGGAGCAGCCCAAGGAAGTCCTAAAGGCTCCTGGCACCTCACGCCTCCAGCAGGTGGCCTTCCAGCCTGGGCAGAAGGTAGGTTGGTTCTTGAGTGGACAGGTGTCCCTGATCTCCCCAGGCTTGGGGCTGGCAGCCCAGCAGTGCCCCGAGTGACAGGCCAAGAACTGTCTGGAGCACAGACCTTTTCCCTGCAGCCATACGAGCCCTTGGGCAGCAGGCTTCCTGAGAGAATGAGCCACTGTTTGCAGACCCAGGGCTCCTCCGTGACAGTTCTGGGCTCAGGCCTGCTCAGAACCTCAGTTCAGAGCATGGCCAGAACTCAGTTTCCTCTTCATCTGCCTCAGTTTACAACTTCACAAGGACAAGGGAAAGAACCTCAGGCTTGTAAGAGACAGACAAGACTGCATCTTTGAATTACTTTTAGACTTTTTCAAGAGATGAAGAACACCTTCATGTTTAGTTGGGGTGCCACCTGGGATTCCCTTTGCAGCATCCCTTCTTCTGTGGCAGGGCCTGGTCATCACCTGTGCCTGCGGTTATCATGAGGTCTGGGTGCATGGGCATCTCTCCCACTGCCTTCTCCAGAGCCGGTACACAGAGACTCCACCTTCTGCCTCTGTGTCAAGGCTTATGGCATCCAGGCCTCTTCCCACCCCACTCCCCCCTGGCAACCCCAAGCTTGTATTTTATGTCTGAGTCTGTTTCTGTTTTGTATTTATGTTCTTTCTTTATTTTTTTTTAGATTCCACATATGAGCAATCTCATATGGTATTTTTCTTTCTCTTTCTGGCTTACTTCACTTAGAATGACATTCTCCAGGGACATCCATGTTGCTGCAAATGGCATTATGTTGTCATTTTTTTGGCTAAATAGTATTCCATTGTATAAATATACACATCTTCTTTATCCAGTCGTCTATTGATGGACATTTAGGCTGTTCATGTCTTGGCTATTGTAAATACTGCTGCTATGAACACACCACTACCATCTTGCTCCCAGGTAGACTCAGAATTCTCTGAAGGGAAAAATGCAGGGTGTGAGCAACCCAAGGCAATAGTTGGGGACCAGCAGATATATAGGACTTCAGAGTTAAGGCTGGGCAAGAAATTGGGAGACTAGACACAGATTCCAAATTCATTTGATTGGAGAATTTAATCTGTTTACATTTAAAGTAATTATTGATAGGTCATGACTTAGTATTGCTACCTTGTCAATTGTTTTCTGACTGTCTTCCTTTGTTTCTTTCTTCTCTTGCTATCTTCCTTTGTGATCTAGTTTTGGGTAGTCCTGTGCTTTGATTCCTTTATCTCTTGTGTATCTACTAGAGGCTTTTCTTTGTGGTTACCGTGAGGCTTACAGAAAACATCTTATAGTTCTAACAGTCTATTTTAAGATGATAGCGACTTAACTTTAGTTGCATATAGATTCCAAATTCCCAAAAAAAAAATCTGAGAAACTGATGCATTCACTCTCTCCATCTAGAGAATTTCTAAGGAGCTGTCTTGGGAAGAACAAATTCACTGAGGCTAGTCTGGGTGTTCAGGTGGGAAACAAGTACCTGGGAACATCTGTTTGAATTAGAGATGTCAGAGAATGCAGTTTGTGGCAGGTGGCTCCTGGCTCCCAGGACTCGGGGCATACGGAGTGAGACTCCCAAGTGTTGATCACTGGCTGCTGCTTTTCTCCCCCCAGGTTTGTGTGTGGTACGGGGGTCAAGAGCGCACAGGACTAGTGGAGCGGCATAGTTGGGCCGAGGATAAGGTGACTGTCTGGCTGTTGGACCAGAAGTTACAAATCTGCTGCAAGGCGGAGGAGGTGTGGCTGGCTGAGCTGCCAGGCCCCATTCCACAGGTGCCAGAGCAGGGAACCCAGGCACCAGCCTACAGGCCTGTCTCCAGGAACATTGACGTCCCAAAGAGGTTTGTGTGGGAGAACCTGGGCTCTGAAAGACACGTGGGTGGTGAGGTATGGGGCTGTGGGATGCCTTGTGTGATGGGGAAGGAATGTGAACGTCCTAGGTGTCTAGTTGTCAAGGTATCAGACAGATGGGATACACTGAGAGAGCATCCTTTGAAAAAACCCAGAAGGGCGTCTTCTCTTCCCCGTAACTCTGTTACAGGTGACATAGCTTCATCTGGCTAAGAGCTATTTTTTTCCCCTTTTCATGCTTAAACTAAAATTAGTTCTTAGTTTTTCATGATGAGAGGGAAAAAAAAAATGGCTTAGATTGGGAGTCAGCAAACGTGTTCTGAATGAGCCAGACAGTAAAGAACGCAGGCTTTGTGGGCCCAACGTTCTCTGTCCCAGCTGCTCTGCGCTGCGGCAGACGGTAGGGAGACAGGCGAGCATGTTGTCCTGCGATGAAACTTCGCTTATGGACACTCAGGTTTCCAGTCCATGTAATTTTCCTGTGTCACATGCCAAGAAATAAAATTCGTCTTTTGATTTTTAAAGCCATTTAAAAATTGTTAAGCCATTCTTGGCTTGCGAACCATCTGCCCCTGGCTAGATGGTCAGAACCACTGATGCTGAATGAAGGATGCTTACTTTGCTTCAGAATTTTATGACACGGTTTTTCCCTCGAGGATGTGTATATTCTGACTTCTAAATTGTATACTCTATATGTGTTGATTTTTTTTTTAAGATTAAAAAAGAAAACCTGCCAATGAAATTCTTACATGCAGGATGTGTAAGCAGTTGGTCCTGGTCCCACCTCTCTGTCTCTGTGTTTGCCTGTGGGTACTACTGTTATTGACAGTACAGGCAGCGTCTTGAGACCAGGTCCGTGCAACAGCAGTTGTGATTGTGTGTTTAGTGGAATGCTGGCAAAGAATTTTTCTGTTCTATGGAAGTAAAAATTCAAACAATCAGACAAGAAAGGGGATGCTGACATGTTTAGTATATGACTAGTCTTGGTTTAGTTGCTTCAAAGCCCAGTCGCATATTTTAGTGGATCTGAATTGTAAAGAATGAATTAATACAGCCCTTTGAAATAGATGAGCCACATAGACATTTGTTTCACACTAATTTTTCACACTTTAGCATTAACTTCTTGACAGCTTTCGTTTTATTTCCGAATAATGTAACCTTATGTGGATTAAAGACATTATATGTAAAATTTTATAGAACTCTGCTATATAAAGCATTGAGATTTGCATTGGGAGATTTATGTTAGTATTTCTGGTCTTTTTTTTTTTTTTTCCTTTTTTCTTTTTTTTCTCATTGGCTTACGTACCAGGTTCTCTTGTCATTCAGAATCTATCAGAATACCTCTTGGTATTCTGATATACCTTGGGGAGAGGGGAAGGAAATTGGTTAGTGTAATTGTTATCCCTTAAATTTAAATATAACACAGGAGAGGAAGGTAATTTTGGTGCTTTCAAATTCCAGCTGGCTGACTTTCATGCCCATGCTTTATTTCATTGCTTTGACTATTCTTCCCTTCCCCCAAATAAAATTCCTGATTTTAAGCTGCAGAGTTAGAGTTAGGAAGTGAATTCAGGGGAGAGTGGCACTGCCTTTGGGTGTCAGCAGTGGGATGAGGGCGAGTCTGCTTACCCTGGGGTTGACTTGATTATTATCAGAATGAGTATTTTTCACGAATGGGGAGAGGTTTTCCTGCTTTATTTAACTGCTTTACTTGAGTACACACTGACTGATTGGAGGGAACAGTCCAGACACGTAAGAGGCTCCCAGGACTGGCTGTGTGGGGAAGTAACTTTGGCGCTCACCTGTTTGCATCCAGGAAGTCTGATGCGGTGGAAATGGACGAGATGATGGCGGCCATGGTGTTGACGTCCCTGTCCTGCAGCCCCGTCGTGCAGAGCCCTCCTGCGGTCGAGGCCAACTTCTCTGGTGAGGACGGGGGCCCGGGTGGGGTCTGGGCGCGGCAGAGGCCCACCGTCGACTTCCTCTGCTCTGAGCAGCTAATTGCCACAGTCACCGGCCTGGCAGCAGGATTTCTGGAGTCTCTTCTCCCTTGTGTCCCGGACTGGCTGAGTGACACAGAGTTAGATGCTTCCATCCTTTTCCCTCAGCTTCCTCCTCTGGGGAGAAGCTTCCTGGTGCAGCGTGAGGATTCAAGCACAGGACTGAGCCACACTGGCGCCTGGAGTCAGTTCTTCTATGGGCGTAAGCGAGTGAGGACCTTGTGGGGCTGAACAAGGCCGGTGGAGGGATATTTAGTTCTAAAGGCAGAAACGTGGGGAGGGTATAGCTCAAGTGGCAGAGCGCATGCTTAGCATGCATGAGGTCCTGGGTTCAATTCCCAGTACTTCCTCAGTAAAGAAATAAAAACCTAATTAACCCCCCCCCCAAGAAAAAACCTAAAAAAAAAATAAAGGCAGAAACGTACTGAATGGTCCCCTAGTGGCCTCAGCCGATTCATGCCCCTGTTCCAAGTGCCTGATTCAGCCTCGTAAATGAGTGTGGAGTAACTGAGCTGAAGTCTCGATAAATCGAATTGTTTAAGACAAGCCGACAGTCTGACTTCACGGCAAATTTATACATTGAATATCAGTAATAGGGGAGGAAGACGGGTTGCTGGATGTTGGTACTGTGACAAGACTGGCAGTGAATCTGAAGGTTCTGGAAATTTCGCTGTAGGGCTGGCCTGACTTACTCCCAGGGAATAACATTTTCACTGGTGAGATCTAACCGAGTTGCAAGCTACTTGTTAAAAGCTTATGGGAAGATATGAAGTTAGCTCTGAACTCACACCAGGAGGAAAGTGGCCTTTACTTGTAAGTAATCTCCCTAGGTAGAAACTAAATTTAGCAATAGGGCGGACTTGCTTACTGCGCCCAGGGCCTGCCGTGGGTGACCAGGCTGCCGGAGGAGGTCACTCAGGCTGGTGGCAACAGCTGTGAGGTGTAGCGTCGCAGGCCTGCTCTGGGAGCACCTGGGGGCTACACACGCCACGCAGGGAAGCTACACGTACACACACACACACACACACACCCATAACACCAACCTATACACATCTAGCCGTGATCCTAGTATCTTGAGTCTCTTTGGATAAACATGTTTCGTCTGTTAAAGGGTTTTTTTCCGTTACAATATATTTCTGATCTTACAGTTAAAGTCAGTGGAAAAAGAAGGCCTCCCGGGCAGTGAATTATGCTGAGGTATTCTGCCAGGTGAGGTCTGTACGAGAACCAGAACCTCGCTCTAATCACGGAGACTGTTTGCACGGAAACCACCCATTCCTTTGGTCTCTTCTGTATCGTTAGGGTGGCTCTGTGTGGGTGAGGGTGTGTGTGTGTATGTGTAGAGCAGAGGGAGTCAGGGGTAATTCTTAGAAGTTCACCATAAACTCTTGCTGCTGTGTATTTGCAGGGGAGCACTTTGCTTTCATGGTATAGAAGCTCTGTTGCCCCTGCCCTAGAAAATCTTATGATCTAAGGTAGAGGAATTTCTGTTCATCTTACAAGGTACAGGTTAATGGATGAAATTGACTTTTTGCTTTATCCTCCCCTCAGTGTGGGCCTACTGTTTGACCGGCCCCCTTCTGCAGTCCTGAGCACGCTGGATGTAGCCTTCTGCTCTCGTGTTCTTCTCTCCCTGATGGGTTTCCTGAGTGGACGTGTGCAGACCCCTGACCTGTGGGCCTGTGGCTGGCTCCTGAGTCCTTTCCTGGGGGACTACCTTATTTGAAGCCCCACGTGTAGATACCATCAACTCTGGGTTTCCAGGAAGTCACAGCTTTGAGATTTGACAGTGAGACTTAGGAGGGCAGAGTTCTTCTGTCCTGTTCTGTTTGGGTGGGCTTCTCCTGGCACGTGAGTCTTAAGTGAGGAGCGCCTGCCTTGGAAACATGGAATGCTGGGTGTCTAGGTTAGCCGAGAAGCTGGGAATGTGGAGAAGGAAGAAAGAAAAGCAGTGGGGTTTATATCCTGACCACAGGGCATGTGGTAGACGATTTCAGAATCCAGGGTAAGGGGGCTCCATGGAACTCTGCCCACGTTGGGAGTTAGGGCTTTTGGGGACAAGGCCACTATACCTGCATATGTCACATTTTTCCCCCCTTCTCTTGCTATTTCCATGTATCAAAATGTCAGATTCTCCTACATTATAAATTACTACGGGTTTATGGCTGAGGCATGGATGAATCAGGGTTGGGCCTAAAGTAGCCTGAAGAAAGGCAATTTAAAAACTGAAAATTTCACCCATCTGCCTGTGATCTTCTGTTCACATGCACTGCTGGGAGCAGGGTTGCTGGTTCCGGCCACGTGGGGCATCCTGGCCTCCTTTCATCCTGTGATGAGCCTGAACTGCTCCCCAAACTTGTCTTTCCTTCTCCAAACGTGTTCCTTGTGAATAAAAGCTGGGACCACCAGGGCAATAACTCTGGTAGATGCTGCGCCTCCCGGCAGCTGTGAGAGCTGGCTGAATGGTTTCTTTCCACACACAGGTTTTGATGTACCAGCCTGATTTTAAATCATCTAAAGGCATTTTTCAAGAAAGCCTGGTTAACAGGCCCTTAACTTGACTTCTCCATCCTTCTCTGCTATGGGGAAAGCTGGGAGGCAGGAGAGGCGTTTCCCCTCCCCTCTCCACACTCTCCCCCTGCCTTTAAAGTGAGAAGTCCACTTTAATTAGTTATCATTCCATTAACAGTACAGGCTTCCCCCTTCTCTGAAAGTAGAGGTATCTTTGAAACCTTCCTAAACTAAAGTGGCATAAAGCAAAGAAGCAGTTACCTTAGGACACACCTGCTAATGGAGACACAAAATACCTGGAGATAAAGTACAGATGCTCACAGACAGTTCAGAGTTATGGCAGCTGGATGCTGAGATACCGCATGTGGTTCCCAGGGAGAGAGCTCGGCGGTGCCGCGCTCAGTGCTTGGGGTGCACACTGCTTCTCTAGCAGCTCGCTCTGCAAAACCAACGCTGAATGCTGTTATTTTCGCCTTTTTTTCAGAAAGTGAAACCCTTCCTCAGATTTCTTTCAGTTACTGAGGTCCGGTTGTCACTCACTGTTAGTAGGGGATTGGTTTCAGGACTCGTGCGGACACCAAAATGCCTGGGTGCTCAAGTCCCTTGTATAAAATGGCATCGTATTTGCACATCCTCTCGTATACTTTAAATCATCTCTAGATTACTTATAACATCTCATACAATGTGAATGCTACGTACAATGTAAATAGTTGTAAAAACAGTGTAAATGCTGCATAAATACTTGCTGGTAAGTGGCAAATTCAAGTTTTGCTCTTTGGAACTTTCTGAAAAAATTTTTTCCTGAACATTTTCAATCCATGGTTGGTTTAATCCTTGGATGTTGAACCTACAGGTACAGAGGGCCAACTGTAGGTCTTTCGTAAAAGGGAAATGGTGTAAAGCGAAACTTTGAAAAGCGGGGGACACCTGCACACAGAATAAAGTTGCGGTGTGTGTCTCAGTGATCGTCAGCATGACTGTGGCAGGAAGCGTCCACCAGAGCAGAGCAGAGCCGGGCCACCCACAGACAGTGCTGCAACGAATGGACCCGCTCCTCATTTTTACCAGCGCTCAGAAAGGGGAGGGCTTTCTTTGCAGCGGAGGGCTGGGATTTTTCCTCCTTGGAGTGGCAAAGCTAGGCAATCTAGAGCCAGGAATTAGATTCAGGAACCCAGACTCCAAACTAGAGTTTCCTGGTCTCCGACCTGGGCTGTCCGTGCGGAATCTGCATAGACACGGGAATGGGCCCGTGAGCATCCTCTCTATCTTCTCTCCGGGCAGCTTCCCGCGCAGCCTGTGATCCATGGAAGGAGAGCGGCGACGTGTCGGACAGCGGCAGCAGCACCACCAGCGGCCACTGGAGCGGGAGCAGCGGCGTCTCCACCCCGTCGCCCCCCCACCCCCAGGCCAGCCCCAAGTATTTGGGGGACGCCTTTGGTTCTCCTCAAACTGATAATGGATTTGAGACCGATCCGGATGCTTTCCTGTTGGATGAACCAGCACCTCGCAAGAGGAAGGTACGTGCCGTGAGTGGGAGCGCGGTCATGCGGGGATGGGGCCCCATGGGTCCTGGGCCTTCTTCAGGCTCCATCTTGTTTCCTTTGCTGCTTCTGTTTCCTCCTGACATTCCCAGGAGCCCACTCCTCCTCGCTAATGCCACTTCCTTGGCCTTCTCACCTCTGCCCCAACCCCTGCCTTTGTTCTTGATCTCCCCTAGAGCCTGTGTGTGAGAGGCCTCTGGTGGGTCTCCCCCCTCCTCCACTTCAGGCACACACCAGCTCCAGGGTCCAGGGTCCAGGCTCTCTGCCTCTGCTTGTCTGTCTCTGTGGTCTCTGAGAACCCCTCTCCTCAAGTCTGCAGCTGGAGTCCCCGCTGGGCTGGGCTGGGCTGAGGGAAAGGACACGTCCCCCCTTACCCCATCTTCCTTTCCCCCAGAACTCGGTGAAGGTGATGTACAAGTGCCTGTGGCCCAACTGTGGCAAAGTCCTGCGCTCCATCGTGGGCATCAAACGTCACGTCAAAGCCCTCCACCTGGGGTAGGTATGAGCCCAGGGCCCCTCTGCATGCCGAGGGTGCTGGGCAGGCATCTTCCACCTACTGGTTCCCTGGAACCCCCAGCCCGGGATGCCTCCTGGAAACTGGCTGGCTGAGGACGCCACCTAGCCCTGCCTGATGCCCCAAAGAATAGCCCGTTGGGAGGAGACCTTTGCTGGGGAGGGAGACCCGTCCTGCGGGGGTGGGTGTTCATGCGGTTGGTGGGTGTTGATGCGGTTGGTGGGACGGGAGCTCCGCCCACCTCGGGGGTGTGTCTTCTCGCCGCAGCCACGGTAGGAAGGAAGGAAGGAAGATGCTTCGATCTGGGTAGACGGAGGGTGGTTGGTGAGGGCCTGTTGTGAGTTCCGCGCCTGCTTCCCCTCGGGGAGCAGGGCTCCCTCCACACTGACCCCCTGGGGCCCGGGCTGCTAATGGCGGAGGAAACGGACTCAGCCCTCTCGCCGGAGGAGAGAGTGCGACGGCGAGTGTGTGGGACCTAGAGAGGACCCCGGGGCAGAGCTCAGAGTCAGGTAGCTCTTGCAGAAGGAGAAGTTTGCACACGTTTTGGGAGAGAAGCCTTCGGTACCAGGAAGTAACAGTTTCCACTGATGTACAAGCGTGTAACCCTTTGTGACCCCGCATCAGGAGGGGGACTCCCCGGTGTTCCTCCCGCCTCTTCCCTGACTTACCAGGTGGTCCTGAGCAAGCGCATCCCTCGTGCCTCGGTGTCTCTGGTCATCACCGCATCCCCTCCTTCCCCCTACGCAGGGACACGGTGGACTCCGACCAGTTCAAGCGGGAGGAGGATTTCTACTACACAGAGGTGCAGATGAAGGAGGAAGCTGCTGCTCCTGCTGGCGCCCCCGCCGCTGACCCGGCTCCCGCCCCCAGCATGACCAGCCCACCCCTGGCCGTTCTCTCACCGCCTCCTCCCAAAGCCCAGCCGTCAGGCCCAGAACACCCCGGCCTGGAGTCTTACCTGCCCTCTGCTGCTCTCAGCAAGTCAGCTCCTGGCTCCTTTTGGCACATTCAGGCCGACCATGCATACCAGGTACGGGGCGGGGACACGCTGGGAGCTCAGCCTGGTGGCAGTAAGGATGGTCAGTGTCTGTCACTGGCCAGCCTGATCACAGGCCAGACCACCCTGCTTGAAAGCTGAGTCCTTTGGCCAGATTACTAATCTCTAATTCCTACAGAGAAGGAAAGGGAAGTGACTTCACCCTCAATAAACATGGGAATTAAAACAACTAAAACCCAGGTATAAAAAAAATATGGGAATTCCAGAATTCTGCGTTGGTGGCTCTCGAGTGATTACGGGAAATCTGGCAGAATCCCTCAGTAACCAGGTTGATGGATTTGGACTGGAGAATTGTTCCATCGCTGCTTATAAATGGGGATAGAGATTCCCAGAGCAGTTCCCTAGTTCCTAGAATTGTGCTACATTAACAGATCATCTGGCATTTTCTTACCCAAGTACCTACTACGTGTCAAGCATGGTGCTAAGCTTTGCAGATGGAATAAAACATAGTTCCTGACCTTGTAAAGTACATGGTTTAGCTAGAGAGAAGAATGAGTATGTAACTATGATTAATTACAGTAAGTAGTCCAAGTGTTTTATTAGAGGCACGAGAAATTGTTGTGAGTACAAGAAAGAGCAAGCTGTTACGCGTGTGACAACTTGAGAAAGTGACATTTCCGATGGTCTTCACTGCATGTAGTGGGTACTAACCACTCTGGTTGCCGTGTGCCGGTTTTTCCTAAAATCCTTTTATGCCTATAGCTTGGTTTTATCTGATTCTAGGCTGATTTGCAGGTTGGTAATTCAGAAGCAGTGCTTTCCATCAGGAAGCCTTTACAGAACGAGGCAGCTCTCCTTCTCATTCGAACGAGTGGCTGCTTAGCTGTTTCATGTTTGGCCAACTTCAGGCGGCCCCTCTGGCAGCTGGCTGAGCCTGTGAGATGGGGCCTGGGGAGGCCAGCTGGTGTTTTTACAAACTTAAACCTAGGCAGGCAGGAGAGAGTTGCTGCTTCCAAGTGGTTGCCTGGGGACACCACATTCTCAGCGCAGCAGCACCGCCCGCACTCAGGGCTTTTGGACTTCTTTGCAGAGCTGCCATATAGCCTGTTCCTGGTAGGTGATTCAGCCAAGAAGTTAATCCAAGGAGGTGATTAAGTCATGAAGCTGGCGTGTAAACTAGCTCCAAGAGAAATGTTCCAAAAAAAGACCGGATCTCGAGGGCAAGGAGACCGCAGAGCGTTGGTACTCTGATGTTCCTCCTGGGGAGAGTGTTTTGGGGTAGCCCAGTATTTCCCAGTCCCAGGGGCACCTGCCGCTGCAGACCTTGAGCTTACAGGGAGAGGGATGGGCCTCACAAGCGTCCCTTGCTGGGGCCTCGGCCGACGCTCTGCTGTCTCCCCAGGCCCTGCCGTCCTTTCAGATCCCAGTGTCGCCACACATCTACACCAGTATTAGCTGGGCCGCCGCCCCCTCCACGGCCTCCTCCCTCTCTCCGGTGAGTGTGCCCATCTCTGAGCCCGTTGGCACTTCCAGGGGCCCTGGGACCCCCCCAAGGGCTCTTCCATACCTACCTGGTGCTGAAGGTCTCCCTATGGCTCGCCCCCCGAGCTGGTCACGGCCCCTTGTAGATGGTGGGTGGCTATGGTAAGGACTTAATGCTGAGAGGAAAAAGGGAGAGAATCTGGGAAAGCTGGAGAGGAAGAGGGTGGGCGATAAAGAAGAGAGGGGCTTGTGGGAGGCTGTGTGGGTGCATCCGAAATCCAGAGGCCCCCGTGGACCAGCACCTTTAGCTGCTTGCCTCCAGACTAAAATAAATCGGAAGTCTTTTGAACCAGGCATAGTGGGCTCCGATCTTGAGCATCTTCTGCAGGGAGGTGTCACATGTTCTAAAACCCAAGGGTGCGAAGGTGCGGTCACAGCAGTGCTGTCCCTCCTTTGGTCCCACCCTGTAGTGGCTCCATCGAAATCTGCAGGGAGCAGCCCACAAGGTGGCCAGACCGAGCGGCTCCCCTGCTCTGTCAGTAGTGTGGCTTTAAAGGCCTGCTCCTCACTGGCCACCTCCCCTCGCTCCCTGGCCCCTGCTCACCTCTACCTGGAATCTCCATCCGGAGAAGGCCTTCTGGCATGAGACAGGCTCGGCGGGTGTGGACAACTGGGATGGTCCTCTCCCCTTTCACGACTGCCCTGTGCTCACGGCCCCTCTCCCATGCCCAGGTCCGGAGCCGGTCACTAAGCTTCAGCGAGCCCCAGCAGCCACCACCTGCCGTGAAATCTCACCTGATCGTCACTTCTCCACCCCGGGCCCAGAGCAGTGCCAGGTGAGATTGTCTTTGGCCGACCCCACCCCTCCTCCCCATTTCTGGCTCCATCTGGTTCTCGTCCTCACAGTTGGTCCCAGGGAGGACCTGATAAGGGGCCGTGATTGGTTCTCTGACCCCGTGACTCCACTGCGCTGCTGCTTGCTGGCTCAGCCTTTGGCCTGGCCGGGCTTGGGTCCACCCGCCAGTGCATGACCGACCTCCCGCCTTGTTGCTCTCTTGCAGGAAGACCCGCGGGGAGGCCAAGAAGTGCCGCAAGGTGTACGGCATCGAGCACCGGGACCAGTGGTGCACTGCCTGCCGCTGGAAGAAGGCCTGCCAGCGCTTCCTGGACTGAGCGGGCCGGCGGCTCGGCCCCTGCGCCCGGCCGGCCCTGCCCGGCGGCCGGAGGACAAAGGCAGACGCGTCCCCAGCCCTCAGCAGAAACCTTAAAAGATGAAGAGTGGACAGTGGGAGTTTGGGCTCTTTTGGTTAAGGTTTAACACTTAAAACATTTCCCTCTCCCTCCCAGGGACATTTTATTTTTTAAAAAAGAGACAAAAGTTATTTTTCCCCCTCAAATAGGAGAGAGCCAAGACCTACCGAGGGTGTTCTCCAGCAAACCAGAGACCAAAGAATTGATTCCCTTCCCATCCCCCGTCCGTCTCTCTAGGGGATTAGCTTGTACATAGGGAAAGAAGGAACCGCTCTTTCTGTTTCCTGCTGAGTTGGTGAATTCTTTGCTTTCTTCATTCTTCCAGAAGGGACTATGAGCAAGATGAATTTACTTTTCTTTAAAAAAAAAAAAAAAAGGTTTCTGGCTGGTGACTCAGAGAGCAGGACCAGGGGAGGGTGGGGTGGGGAGAGCGGGGGGTGTCTGTGCTCTGTAAGGTGCAGCCACCCCGCTTGTCTGCCCAAATCCAAAGGAAGGGAGATCTTGTCCTCACCGAGCAGCTTCCACAGAAGTGAAAGGAAACCCTCTCCTTGGTGACGACTGTTTGCATCTGGGTTCCCTCAGACGTTGGGTCACTGGCTGCTTCTCCAAGCCCAGACTCAGAGGTTTGTAAAGATAGCTGAGCCAAAAGGCTGAAACGAATTCCCGTTTTGCAAGGCGGCAGTTAAACACTACCTTGATCACTCTTTCCTTGAGGAGGGAGAGGGTTTAGCATTTGTGAAAGCTTCCTGCCCCCGCCCCGGGGTAGGTTCCTCTTTGTCTCCTGTTTCACCAGGGACTTTCCCCATCTTCCTTCGAGGCTGCAGGCAGGGCTGGCGAAGAGAGCCGACAGAAAGGTAGGTGGCAGCTTCCCCCACGGTGAGAGGGCGTTGAATGTTCCCCCACTGTTCCGTTGGCTCACCTGCCCCTTTGAGGACAATCGGGTCTTCTTCCTAAGATGATAGGTAGGACAAGACCCTTCAGTCAGTGCAGGAGGCTTCTGGGTTTTACTAGTGTTGGTCCAGTCCGTGGCACGGGGAGGGTCAGTTGGATGTGGTGTCACCTTCCCAGATATCCCCGCTGACGGTGGGACGAGGGAGGTTAGAGAGAGTCCCGGGGTCACGTGATGGGGACCTGGGGTTGAATTATCAGCTGCTGGCGCTTCTGGAAGCCTCGGGAATTGAGGGCGCCTGGACTGCGCTGCTTGGGAGGTAGATAGGCAGAGCTGTTCTTGCTGAGGGGCGAGATGTGGGGAGCTCAGCGCCACGCCGGCCGCCGGTGAACAAAGGCTGGGCCTTTTTTGTTTCGGAGCCTCGCCTCTCTTCTAAGCGCGACAGGTTTGGAGATTCCTCAGGGCCTGTGTCCCAGTCGTCAGGGGCTCAGGGACTGCCACCAAGCCACCTGTCTGGGGACTGAACAGCAGCGTCCACCCCTTGGCTGTGATCAAGGCTGTCCTCTTGGTCCAGGTGGGAACACCTCGATACTGACGCTCTTCATGTGGGAACCAGGAAGATGCTTTTCAATCGGAGACACGCCGAGTGTTTGAAACCTGCAAACCTAAGAATAGCGGTGTGATGTTGTGAAGGGTGATGGTGACCTGGGTTTGGGGGCAGAAGGGAAAGATGCCCTCATACATGGGTGTCTTTGGTGGTGATGGGGTATATTTTTGTAACTTAGTTTAAAAAAAAAAAGTATGTGGAATTCTGTCCCTTGGTAAAGCTTGAAACCTGGCCAGCCAGAGGGGCCCTGGGTTCTTCCTCCCGCCCCTTCGAGCTCCCTGAGAAGTCAAAGCAGATGCAGGTTGCTGCTGGGCTGACCCCCTCACCCCACAGCATGTCTGACCCACGAGTGGAGGGGGCACTTGGGAGGTGGGGACGCAGCCCAGCAGCGTCCCCCCTTCCCTTCTTAACCAGAGCGCTTGCTGAATCTAGTCTTTCGAAAAGCTCTTTTTATTTCCCCCTCAGCTCGGGCTGTGTAGATGTAACTGGATATGAAGATTTTCTCTGAGTGAAGTAGGCTTCTCAGATCACAGGGCAGAAAAGGAAGAGAGAAAGGAGACATGGATGCAACACTTTAAAAACTGAGGGTTTTTTTAGTTTTCTTTTTTTAAAAAAAAAAATGTTCTGGTGCGGCTTTCCCCATCAGCATTTGCTCCTGCCTCCTTCCTGGTGGCGGTGGCCTCCTCCGGCCTCCCTCGGCCTCCCTCCTCCCGCTGCTCCGTCTTGTGGCTGTAGTGTTGGTTCCTGACGTGTGGTCTGTCCCGGGGTGGGGGTGGTTTGTGAACTGGTCCAGTGGTCATGCCTGTTTTCTTCATCTCTGTGTCTCTCCCTGCTTCCCGGCCCACCTGTGCTTCAGAATCTGCTAGAAGGTGGGATGCCGCAGGTGTGCATGGGAAACTAACAGGACTGATTGCCAAAAGCAGTTGTCTTGGGAAACTCTCTATTCCAGGGGCGTTACCCCCATTCAGAACCTCTCTCGGAATTAGTTTTGGAGTCCATGGTGCCTGCTGTGAGCAGCCTTAATGATACTGAATGTGCACCTGCTCCTGTTCCTTCGGTGCAGAGAGAGTCCGGCAAATGGTACCTGTGGTCAAGTGAGGTCACAGATGCAAAGCACAAGGACCCACGAACATGTAAGATGACTTGGGTCTCATCATGGGACTTTGAAGCCGGCTGTGAGAACAGTTCCGTCATTTCAGAGAGCAGTTTGAGTCAGCCCATGGCCTGACTCCCTGGAGGACACTGTTCATTTGGTTGTGGAAACTCTGTTTTGTTTGAAAAAAAATCTGTCCTGTTACTTTCTGGTCCTCCCAGGTTCTGACTTTACCAGGGGTTAAAAAAAAAAAAAGAAGAAGAAGAAAAAAAGATTTTTAAAAAAAAGAAGAGGGAGGTAAATCCCATCTGTGAACTTGTCTTCTTGGCTCCTTTCCCCCCAGCTGTCTTCCAAGTATTATTTTTACTGTTAAAAAATTTTTTAAAAAATGTGAAATGTAATGTTTTTACAGCAACAATATGAAATATATTTTATAAAGAATAAAATGGTACATTGTCTGATTTAATGTGTGCCCAGCTGTCTGCCCTCCCCAGTACAAAGGATAAGATTATCATTGTCCTTGGTGTTAAACACGTGATGGCCCTGGGGGCGAAGCACACAGACTCACTTGCTTATAAGAACAAGATGCAACATTACCGGGGACGGGGCCAAGTGCTTATGTGGATTACCCGAATAACCCCAGGAAGGACTTACTGTTGTCATTCCCATTTTACAGATGAGGAGAGTGAGGCACAGAAATTTAAAAACTTGCCCAAAGTCGTAATCTGGGGCATAGTGGCACTGGGATTGTAATCCAGGCAGTAACCATTTTCTATACTGCTTGTACTGACAGCAGCAGGCAGGGGAAGGGGAGAAGGTGGGTGGAATGTTCTTGGCCAAGTGCCTGAGTTTGCTGGGGAGCGGGCAAGTGACCGAGGAGAAAATAAGTCACACTCTGCCCATGCAATGAGTTCTGTCCCCAGGGAACAGCACAGGCTGCTCCATGAATTCATGGATTCCGTGTCCTGTGATGGCCCAGATGGCGGGTTAAAAACTGGTCTCGGTGGGAGGGGAGCTGGCAGCAGAAAGTGATGTCTTACCCTGGTAGCACCAGGACTGCTTTATGCAGTTAAAACTGGGACCATGAGGCCTGTCTGGGAGCAGGTCCGAGGGCCATCCTGAGAAGACCCAGGGACTAGTCCAAGGCGGGAGTGGGGCAGGCCTCAGCAGCCTGGATGGCTGGTGTGGGAGGTGGTCCTTCTCCCTCACCTTGGGGTGGAACAGAGGGTTTCTTTCTCCGCCTTCCCTTTTTCCTTGCTCTGCCCCGTCTAAGCAAGCCCCGAACAGAATCACTGCTCCACTGCAGTCAGTGCACCTCCCCTTCCCAACCCCTCGCCCCTCCCCACTAACCAGTTAACTGCTCTTGGGTCGGTCATTGGCCATTTGCAGCCCTGGGCCCTCCCAGGCTTACCTTTATGGCTGCATCGGGGGACCCCCTAACTTTCTGGCTTCCGGTTGGATTAAGGGCCGGAGGAGAGAGGAGCAAGGGTATTGGAATCTCGCCACCCTTACTGCCCCGCACAATGTATGAATGGCTGTCTCCCTACTGACCGCCAGAGGGAGCTGTAGTTCTCACTGGGTTCCAGTCACCACCTCCTTCCCAGGGCCCCCCAGGGCCCCAGCAGAGTGCCTGACCCTCCCTTACCGATTTCCCACGGCCCTGTCGAGTTCTGTAGGTGCTTGATTCTCCTTGGTTACTCCATTTGGGTGGACCAGGGGTTTCTTGGCTGAACTGATCATTACACATCTTAACATGTTTCGTGCTCATTGAAACCCAATCCAGGGCTCCCAAACTGTCCGGCTCTGCGTCTCCTGGAACTTGTTAAAAATGCAAATTCCTAGTGAAGCAGAAACTGAGGATGAGGCCCAGCAACCTGCCCGCCTATATCCCGCCCGTCCATTCACACAGCTGTGGGCTTGGATCTGGGGACACAGCCAGTCGGGTGTTTATGCTCACGAGATGATCTCGCCCGGCACACTTCACAGAAAACAGAGATGCCACTTATTTTTGGTCTCTGCCTACCAAGAGAGGCAGCTTTGACGGTGTGTGTGTCTGGGGCCTGTTTCTCAGTTACGTCACTTAAAAACAGCCATCCAATGTATTAACCATTTTCTCAGTAGAAGTTTAATGGAGAAGTCTCTGTTTAAAACAGTCAAAAAGAACAGTTCTTTTACAAACAAATTATGGCAGTGACAAGTCAAAACCCCAGGCTTGATTTCCTGTTCCTTTAACCCGCCCTAGAAGAGGGAAGAGGCGGGTGAGAAGGAAAGATGGGCTGTTTAGATGTTAGCTGGAGGAATTACAAAAATACACTCTGATGTAGCAACAGGGTTGTCATGAAACATGCCGTGGGTGGAGAAGGGGGAGGGACAGACAACCAGATGGGGCGGGGCTGGGCCCTGGGGGTGGGGGCCTGGAGGCCTCAGTGCCTTGGGGAAGAAGGAATCTTGATTCCCAGCCGAGTCCGGCAGGTCTGGGGCTGGAGACATGCTGATTTGGGGATTGCCTGGACACCTGGGGAGACAGAAACGATTAAAATGGCAAACCCGATAGTTTTTCTGACCCTTCCATCCATCCTATTTGCCCTAGTGACTGAGCAATAGAAAGGAGGCAAAGAAAAACTCTACACTGAATAAACAGAGCCTAAAGCAGCAAGAAGGGGTCCCTGACTCCCTCTACACACCTGCTTTCCCTGGCCCCGAGTCCACTGGCAGGACGAGCAGAATAAAGCGGAGGTATGTGGGCTGGGACTTGAAAGGCATAGGATAGGCCCCCTGCCCGGAAACAGTTCTATCATCCCTCGTATTTGGAATCCATGTGTAGTAATTCATTCCTTCAGGTTCAGTAAAGCCCTCGTTCTTGGCTCTCTCATATTCCAAGTGCTAACTTCACTCATTCCTCATCAGGAATAAATCAACTCACTTTCCACTGTCTTGAAGTTCAAGGTCTGGGGTAGCAGAAGAGAGGAGGGATGAGTGACAAGGGAAGGGACGGTGGTTATGGAGACCAGTTGGCCACTTTTCACGAGTCTATCTGGGACTGGTCCTACACGCCGAGGTCCCTCCTTTCTCAGACATCATTACATTTTCTGAGTAGGGTTTTTATCCCATGTTTTAGGGGGCGCCAGTTCCTCCAGCCTTCTAAGTACAGAGGAGCTCAGAAGTCCAGAATAGCCCTGGCAACAGGTGGCCCCCACTGTGGAGAGACCCCAAGCGTGTATGGGGCTGGTTGGGGTGCGGAGAGACAAAAAAAGACAGCTTAAAGGGCTCATAGATACGTATCCACATTGGAACTCAGCAACCATGAATGTGTGGGGGAAAAGCATGGGTGAGATGGTTGCAGTTGGCGAGTGATCAGTAATACCCAGATGAGCTGGTTAACGTCTTCGGCGTTTCCATCAAGAACTTTACATCCTGAACAAAGCTGCAGACAGAAGCCGGTTACTGGTCACGTTCAATACTGCTCAGTGGGAAGCTTAATAGAAAACTAGAAAAACCAATTGCCTGAATAGGGGCTCAAATAGTTTTTTTTTTTTAATAAATTGATTCTTGCTAACGTGACTGATTTCAAACTGTTTTTAGGTAAAGAAAATGGTGGCAGTTCAGAGTTAGCATCCCTTAAGATTCACTTCATTGTTTATTTTTATTTTTAGGTGGGAGGAGAGGTAACTTGGCTTATTCATTTATCTATTTTTGGAGGAGGTACTGGGGATTGAACCTGGAACCTTGTACATGCTAAGCATGCACTCTACCACTTCAGTTATACCCTCCCCACCAAGAGTCACTTTAAAGAAGAATATGCCTTGCAGATTTGAAAGAATTCAATCCATGCTAGTTCTGAAAGATCCACCGTTAGGTCCTGCAGATATTGCTTAGGAAGAAATAGGATGCTTGTTAAGGATCCAAGAGTCTGACTTCAAGAACAGTGCAGGTGAATTCAGGGCCATCTGAGATTAGTCATTCTATTAGAATAAACACGCAGCCTTCGCCTCACAATTTAATACGTATACCCGTATTTGGCAGTGGACCTTTTGCAAACGAGGCAGCCTACTTGCAAAGAGCGACGTGGGCTGCCTCCCTGCTGGAGTGTGGGTGCCAACGATGAACATGTGTATTAACAGACTTTGAGGGGAGATTATTCCCGATCTGGCTACCTTTGACGTACAGGAAGCAGAATAAAGCAGCGCACGCAGACTTCTTCCTTTTATGCCTCTGAGTTAGGGAAAAGCCCCCACTTGGGTAATAATGTTTTGGGAATGTTTTTGACCAGCTGATGGGTTCTCTCCATTAGGGAAAGTTTCTAGGCTTTAAAAAGAGGTCCGAGACCCTGCCGATTGTTATATTCCCCACATGTGATATGCCCAGATGTTTGGGGTTTTCTTAGATTTTCAGAAGATTCCACTGTGCTAGTTACCTATGCCACACAAAGTTATATGCAGGTTGATGGGCTGAGGAAAGCTGAGTCTGTTATGACTGGGCAATAAATTAGGATCTCTGATGTTTATTATCCGATCTGTATTATGGGCACATGTTTAAAAGTACCTGCAGGGGTAAGAACAGACGGGGAGGGAGAGAGGGATGAGGGCAAACAAGCAAACACACACACAGTAAAAATGGCATCTGGGAAGGAGCGAAAAGTGAGAAAAAGTGATGCTCCCTCAGCCCCTCTTCTAAAAGCTACGCAGGTCGTTTGAGCCAGATCCTCAGTGTCGCGCTCAGGTACCATCAGCTGCAAAGAATCAGCCCATCTCTGGCAGAGTGGTCAGACAGACAAGTGATGTGTGGAAGAAAGAAGAACAGAAAGTGTCCTGATGGGAACTGGTCCTAACCAGAACTCCTTGACGGGGTGGTGGAGAGTGGAAACGTTTACCGGTTTCCATGGAATCCAGTCACCTTGAGATGTAGAGGGGGGAGGAGGAGAGAGAGCTAAGGCATCTTTGAAGGTGAGAGAGCAACATCACAGCTGCAGAAATCAGCCTCCGCGGACGGTTAAGGGTAGGTCCAGTTCTTGGTTCTCAGGGATAAAGTCTCAGAGGGAAGGTGAGCTGAATGGTTTCTATGGCAACCAGATAGGAGGATCGGTCCACTTAACTGTCCCCATAGTAACTAAGCTCCTGGAGAGCTATAGAGGAATTAGTTATCTTAACACACTACTATTATCCCCATGGTAACCAATCTCTTAATGGCAGTGGTCAGGAGCAACCCCAGAAAATCTTGGCTCCCAGAGGAAGGGTGGGCAGGAGGCAGGGAGATGGATTTACCTCCCAGGCCTCCTGGGAGCTGAACACCTGGAGGTGGTCTGGGTGTGAGTATGAGTCTGGGGGCTCATGAGCTTCCCCAGGCAGGCCCGAGAGGAAGGCTAAGATGGGGGTGGAGGAGGTGTCTTTTTGCCCCCAGCTCGTTCGGGCCCAACTCACTCATGGGTTGAAGTGGACGGTGCAGCTGGGAGGGGCTCCCCTTCCGGCTACGCATTACCATTCTGGTGCAGGGTGCGCCGGCGCTGGCTGGACTGCAAGCTCAGGACCAGGTACTGCCTCATAAACTCACTGAACCGCTTCTGGTTGGCCAGCTTCCGGGCCGACTTCCGGGCCCCGGTGAAGCCCCCGAACCTCTTCTGCAGCTGCTTCTGCTCTGTCTCTCCAGCCTCACCCGTGCTGGGCTCTGTCCCTTTCTGCTCTTGGAACAGGCTCCGGACGCGGGGCATTCGCTTCAGATGCTGCATCTCAGAGGCTTTTGGCTGGTAAAGAGCAGCGGCCACATGGTCTGGGTCGGCCGGGCTGAGCTGCCAGGAGCCCCCGGCCATGACCTTGGTGCACGGAGTCCAGAGAGGGCTGGCGAAGTCCTTTTCTTCACAGTCACGGATGCACAGCTGCAGAGACAGAGGTGGGAGGAAGGAGAAGGACCAGGGACATCTGTTAGTCCAAGGCAATGAGGAGATGAAGACCCTCTGTTGTCTATTGCGGTTCCAATGCAAATGCTTCCGAATCATCTTCCTCAAGGGCCGTGCAGCCGTTTTACAGGCAGTCACTTTTACAGTTTACATGTAGGTTCACAGAATTTCAGAGTTGGAAAGAAACAAAAAACTCTCTGGCCCAGCTCTGTCATTTCACTAACAAAGCAAGCTGGGGCTCAGAGAGGTGAGGTTAATTCACCCCAGGTGACACAGCAAATTGACAGAATGAGTGCATCAAATCTGCACCCAGTCATAGCCGTAGTTGGGTTTTTGGAGCCAAACACAGCTCATCAGGGTCACCTGTAAAGGAGAATTTTATCTTGTTCGCTTACTAGGCTTAGGAAAGGTCAGATTGGTTTAAGAAATTGGGGGTGTCAAAGCACGTAGTCATGTAGTTAAATCTGCATGGTTATTTTAAGGTCATCAGGTGAAGATCAACCTTGGTGGTGGTCATTTTTTACCCTGCATACGCTAGTCATCACTATCTGTGTATCAGTTATAGAAAACGGGGCTTTAGTCTCTTGGGGATGTAGGCAGGTTAGGCAATCTGGGAACATCAGATGCAATTCAGCAGACCCACCAGCTTCCCAGGAACCCCTGCTGCTGCTCTGTGTCTCCAGGCATCTCCCACTTCTCATCTAGACCACCTGACCGTGCTGTTTCCCCACCCTCCGGGCTGGTCCTGGCCTTGGCCCCTCCCTCCCACGTTTCCGTCTCTGATTGGTTCTCCTGGAAGCCTCTGCCTCCAACTTTTTTCCATTAGCTGTTTCAGCTTCAGCCCAAATGCTCCTCTGTTTCTGGCCTTCGCCAGGTGAAAACCCCACTTCAACCTGCCCTTGGCGTCACGGTCAGCAGGAAGCTGCAGAGCCCTGCGTCAAAGCTTGGAGGTTTAGCTGGGCTTTCTGGGCATCAAGAGTTACTGCTCTGCCTGGGCAGGTGCAGGCGTGAAAAGACTGCCCCATCGGCCCTCTTTGGGGGGCAGAAACCTTCACCCGGGTGTTCAGAGCGGCACAGATGCCTCAACCGGCAAGGTTTCCAACCAGATCCCTAACCAAGGAGTGAGACGCGTATGCCGCTTAGATCACAGACCTCACAGCCTGTTCCAGCAGACCCTAAACATATTTCCTTCATTCCTACTTCTCCTGCAAGGCTTTACCTCCCCGGCCCCGACCCCCTCTCGTCACTGCCAGGCTCCTCCACGATGCTGACTGTGCTAGTGCCTCTTTCTCAGCATCTTCCACTTTCCCCTCAGTTCCTTGAAATCTGCTTCCCCTCCCCCAACCCCTCCACTATCTCTGCCTTCTTGAGGACCTCTGGTGACTTCCCTGTCACCACCTCCATAGCCTCCTCCTCCTTGACCTGCAGCGTTTGGTACGTGGACCACACCCTCCTGAAAATTCTCTGATACCGCACTCACCTCTCAGATGGTTTGAGCTCCTTCCTCTCGTGTTCCTAAGATTCTGTCTTTAAATTTGTCATCTCTCTTTACAATCTGCCCCCTGGGGACTTTGTTCATTTCTGTGATTTTGGCCATCACTTCTTTTAGGGACTCCTGGGTCTCTGTGTCCGGCCCCTGCTATGTCCTGAACTCCAGACGCTTCTCTGATCTCTGCCCCCTCTGGCCATCAAAACATCTGACCAGCACATTAAATGCAATTTGCTAAGAGTAAAGCTCACCTTCCTTTCTGGAACAGAGGCTGCCAATTGCTCATTCTGTCCCCATTTCCCTTCTTCCTTGCCAACAAAACTCATGTTTTCTTCCTGAAGGCCACAGGTATGTTTCCCAACCTCCTTTGTAGATAGGTGGCCGATGATGTATAAATGGAAATGACCAAGTGGGGCTTCCGGAAAGTAACGGGCAGACTTATCTGGGAAGAACATCTTTTTTCTGCTTCTTCCTCCCCTTCCTCCAGCCTCCAGCTTAGAATGTGGACATTTTGGCTGGTGCTCAATGGGCCACCTTGAAACCATGGGGTGACTCAGAGGATGGAAGCCGTAGGCGGCCGGAGACAGGTAAAGGAGAAAGATAAGAAGTCTGTGAGGAGAAGGAGCTGCCAGGCCAGCCCTGGACTGGCTACCTCCTGACTTCTTCCATCTCATTAAAGATGTCACTTTACGACGGTGTTTGTTACTAGCAGGTGAATTTATATCTTACCTGATATACTTTCCCCACCCCAAGTCTGTCCTTCTGTTCTGTCTCCCTGCGCCTCTCTCTGAATGGCACCTTATTCCCCAGTTGACTCAAGTGTAGAAACCTGGGCTTCTCTCCAACGTCTCCCTTCTCACGACCCCATTCCTTCATCCAGTCAGTCTGTGAGTCTGCTCCCTCTGCTCCATCCCCTCTGCCTAAGACCCCCCTGGGGTGCAGTGGCTTCCTAAAGGACCTCTCCATCTTTAATCTTTGCTGTCTTAAGCCATTTTATCTCCCCAGCAGAACAATCTTCCTGAAGAATAGATCTAATCATATCGCTACTTATTCACAACTGTCCAATATTTTGTCTTTGTCTAGAGAAAAACTCCAAACTCCTGAGCAGAGCGTTCAAATTCCTCCACCGTCTGGTCCTAGCCCATCTTTCAGGTTTCTTTCTGAATCCTCTTCACGATCCCTTCAGGCGTGTGGGGCTGCTCCTTGTACCTCCAACACCCCCAAGCTCCCCCGCCCTCACCACATGCCTTTTCTCACTCTGTTCCCTCTGATGGAATGACCTCCTTCCATCCATCCTCTGGGGCCAGCCAAGCTCCAGAGCCACCCTTCCATGACACCTTCTTCTGGCCTCCTGGCCAGACCTGCTCTTTCCTGCCTCTGAGCTGCTGCAGAACTTTGTATCGCCCTTGTGGAAGTGTGACTGCTTAGTATAATTGTAACACCTTACACAGCAGAATAGGACAAGCCAGGGGTCAATGAGAAATCGTCTCCATCCAGTGAGTAGGAGGGTTTCAGTAGAGATTTGTTGCCCTGAGCTGAATTAATCAAGAGGCCACTTTATATTTAGCTAAGGGTGACAGAGGAAAAAAAATTTTTTTTAAATACAAAAAAGAGCAGAGGAGGATGTAGCTCAAGTGGTAGAGCACATGCCTAGCATGTGCAAGGTCCTGGGTTCATTCCCCAGTATCTCCTCTGAAAATAAATGAACCTAATTACCTGCCCCCCACCAATAAGTTAATAAATTAGTTAAAACAATTTAAAAGATGAGGAAGAGTCACTGGAAGAACGGGAATTGCCCCTGGTTGCAACCAGACTTGAACTCCCCCGGCACTCGGCACACGCTTCTGATGTTGTACTTGTCACCCTGTTGCAGCTCTTGGTTTACCTGATTACTTGTCTGTCCCATTAGACCAGGGTTCTTAACCCTTTCTGGCTTATGGACTGCTCTGAGAAGCTAATTAAAGCTATGAACCCACCCTTTCACCGTATAAATGCACATCATGTCACATTTGAGTACAAATTTAGAGGGTTCATCAATCTTCTAAAATCTCTCCATGGATGGGCATCTGTGGACTCCAGGCTGGGGACCTCTTCACGTGGCTGTAAGCTGTGCTCTAGGGAGGATGTGCGTGCATTCCAGGCATCTCATAGCTGGAATACAAAGTGGATTCCATAGTGAGAATGTGAAATGGAGAGAATCAAGGAGAGAAAGGAGGGAATTTGCAGTTGAGGTCACCCAGTGGCCATACTGGGAGATGCCCCAGCTCTCTTGTACATCAGCAAAGCACTGCCGAGAATCCTAGTGCCAGGAGGGACCTCGGCAACTCCTGTCCAGTGGGTCCTGCACCTGGGTGTGAATCCAAATCATCTGCAGAACTCTTGAAATTCTGAACACAGAATTTCACAACCCAGTTAAATCTCTGAAGACTAGAACCAGGGTTTAAAACTTATTTTTACAAAGCTAAGACTACTCTGATATTTGCCCAGGCTCAGAAACCACTCATGTGGTCAGTGTTTGCCTGTTACGATGAGGTTCAGTATTGTGTCCAACACGACATCATGAGATAATAGCGTAACCTGGACAAGAACGCAGATGTTTCAAGTCCCAGCCCAGAACACCTCCTACTCAACCACCTCTCTGTGCTTGCAATACGAATAGTGTGAAAATAAGGATTCTATGAGACCAAAAGGTAAGGCTCTGATGGGGAAATTGCTCATTTTCTGCTGGACCAGAGAGAAGACAGAGACAGTGGGAGAGCTGCTCTCTTTCACTGGGAAGGTTTCCAAGGAGCACCTTTGCCCAGCCCACCTGCCGGCCAGAGGTGGTGATGTTGGCCCCTCCTGATACACAAGCCTTTTCTGAGAATGTCTTTTCCATTTAGAGTTTTCTCAGAGATGCTCACAGAACTGAAACGTCGTTAGTGCCAGCTCAGTGAAATACATACAGAAACCACTTTTTCACACCCACAAACTCATTGGGTAAGAATGAATGACAGGCACGTTCCATAGATGGGGAGGGCGACCTTTAGAACAACGGAGCTGCACACTTGAGCGTTCTTTAAGAACTGGAGGTTTGTTGGAATGAAAATTCATAGTCTACCCCCTGGAGATTCTGATTCTGTAAGCCGTAAGCTGAGGCCCAGGAATTTGCATTTTCAAGCACCTTAGGCTGGACTACACTTTGAGAAATCCTGCTTTGTAACTTGCTGTGACGAGAAAGAAGCCAGCATGGAGCGTGGTGTTTGGAGACTCCTTCCAAGAAAGAGTCTGTACTTAGCCTGCTCCTGAAACACTTTGAGGAAAACCGAGTAGAACCGATTTGTAGTTCATTCTTCTAGGTCACAGTCCTTTGGGGTTATTGCTCTATAGCAGTAGGTCTCAACTAGGGGCAATTTTGCCACCCCCCCCGCCCACCAACAATGGCCTGGGGACATTTGGCTGTCTGGGGACAGTTTTTGGTTATCACACAGCAAGGGGGAGCAGGGGATGC